GGGGGGGGGGGGGGGGGGGGGGGGGGAGCCTGGTGTTTTGCAGGTTACCCTCCAGTACAGAGGCTATTTTCAGCAACAGGCTGTGCCAACATAAATCAGATCCATACTTTCAAGTCTGAGCTCCTTTAGGACTCCTGGGAGTACACACTCGTAACCCCACTCATCTGGCACTGTACATCTAAATGGGACACTTTTATTCCCATGTCAGTCCCTCTATCAACCAACTACCTGCGTTTCTAAAATGTTGAGCCATACAAGCTACATTTCTTCTTCTCTGTCTTCTATTTATCATTTTTAACAATTTTGAGGGCTCAATTTAAGTCCCCTTCCACAGCAGCAATCCCTCTTCATTTTCATGCAACTTTAAGCAAGTTATCTAAATATTTCATAAAAGTTTAGGAATTACCAGGAGTTTTATTTTAATAGGGAGTCATAACTATTGCAGTTATTTTTATGTGAACTTTTTAAAACTTGGTTTTAAATTCTTTTGATTTATCTGTGTGACATAGTATAACCTTATGGTCTTGAGTTAACTCCCCATCCAGGTCAGGTTTTAGTGAATAGCTAGGTCACGTTTTATGTTTTAACAACTAAAAAAAAAAGCTTTAAGTATTTTACTTCCCTGGGTACTGAATGCCATGGATGCTAGAAGTGGTTCAACAGGATCTATACAAGCTTGCATTTCTTTTGAGAAAAGGCAATGCACTTGTGGGGAAAATAAAAATAAGAGTATTGCAACACATTAAATTTTCTAAAATTTGTTCAGCTTCTGTCTACAAGATATTTGTTGCAGAAAATGCATTTAGGTCTATTTTAAGTAAAGCAAGTCAGATATTTTAAGTGTAAAATGACGTCTCTTTCCATTGGCATTTTAAGTAGTCAAATCACCTCTTCACCATCTGTTTTTATTATTCTAGTAGTAGCTATACACTTCCATAATTAAAATTAGAATAAAATGCTTTAAATGAAGGAGAGTCAAGAGCTGCATTTTTTCCTTGCTCAGTGCAGCCCACTTTCAACTCACTCTCCTGAAAACTGCTTTAAGCAATATTTTCCCAAATATTACAAAAAAAATTCATGTGTGGTATGTTCACATAACTTCTTGAAAACATGCATTTTTAACTAGTGTCATCCCAGAAGGAGGAAGTCAGGTTTATTCAGCTATTTTCATACATGCAACAGCCATAACATTTTTTTCCTCTTAATTATTAAAGTAGGTATTTGTAGTAGTAGTTTGGCATTATAGGCCTTAGAGGCCCTTGGCTGCCTCCAGTATCCTCATCCAATCCCATCTGTCACGTGCTTTCATCCTCCAGTTATCTACCTTTAGTTTCTGTAGGTCTGACACTACATCATATAGACACCTTTGCCTTGGTCTTCCAGGCAGCCTTCTTCTCTGGTATCCTACGGAACACTTTCTTTGGCAGCCACGTAACTTCCATTCTTTCAATGCAGCCCAGTCATTGTAGTAGTTGTACTCCTATTTCCTACATCAGGATTAGATCTCCACATAATTGATACAACTCATTATTGGTTCTTCTGTGCCATTCTTGTGTTATAGGATAATACTGTGCAAAGGGTTTTAGGTGGGGGGGAGGGGTTGGAAAAAAAAATCTCTTTTAGAATGATCAAATAGCATAACACTTGCTCGAGAGAGAACCCAGGTTTGACTGTCATAGGTTATACATGGCTTGAATATGGTTTTACAGACCTGAAGCTTAAGTTTCCTTAAGGTGAGCTTGGATGATAGGAGCATGTGCAATGCAGAGTAAGCTCTATTTCTTGTTTCCATTCTTCCTTTGATGTCTTCTTTTATATTACTATCCTGGCCATGATATAATCTAAAATACTTGATATGGATCATTTGCTTGAAATGTGTCTTGTTCATTGTCACTTGAAGTCCCTGATTTACCACTGCCCCATTTACTAGCAGATACTGTGTTTTTATTCACGTTCACTTGTAGTCAAATTTTACTTGCTTCATTTTTAGTCATTTTTATACAGCATTATACAGGTCTATATCATTCATATTTTCACTTATGAAAAGCTGTATCATCAGCATATGCAAGGACTTCATGCCCTTCATTCAGCTGAACTCCTCCCTTCATGTTATTTATGCTCCCAACTACTTTTTCCAGTGCCAGCTTGAATAGGATTGGAGATGCATCATCTTCCTATCAATC